CCGGCACTAATTGAGTCTGCTATTAAGATGATTTCGGCTGACGGTTTAGCCGCAGCAAACAAATTAAGACAATTCGACGCAGGTGCGACTACTGGCCAAAGCAGCGCAATCGCTCCAGCTTTACCTGCTGACTTCATAAAAGACCTGAAGGACGAGTTTTCATGCGTGCACCAGGAGGCGGAGGACCTAAAAATAGGTTTCGGAGGCATGGGACGCTGCGTACAACTCAACACGAATTGCATTAATTCGTACGCAGGGGACTCCACTAAGCTGACACTCCAGGTCATGGATGGCTGGTTCAATAAAAATGCTTCTGCGTGTAATGCGCACGGCCGGCGCTTGCGATGCGCACAGGGCGATATCCATCAGTTTCGGGTCTTGGGCGCATGCGTAATCTTGTTCGTACTGGTAGATGAAGAAGGGCTCATATTTGACAGTCCCCACAAAACGCATCTGCTCGTGCAGGTGAAAGAGTCCCGGGAATTTGCCATCGTCAACTGGCATAGCTTGGAGAACCACTCCACTCGGCGCTGCTTTCCAGACTGGACAACAACAGGCCATAAAATATTAGAGGAATTAAGAACAATGTTGAAATCAAAAGAATGCATGTTTTATTATCTTATACATATTAGATTTCTGACTTATAGGTAAAATGAGAGCCGTCTATGCCATGAAGAGTAAAAGCAATGCGAAACAAATTAAAGCAAAACGAGATGCGTTGGGAGAAGCACGATACGCCTCTTTCATATCTACATACTCTAACGAAATGGAATGCAAATTACCAGGTGAACACAAGAGTTTCTTCTTATTCTTATTCTTACCACCAGGTGAACACAAGAGCAAACTCAAGCAAGCGGAAGAGGTGAACGACCTCATGTTATTAGAACGTCGACCCCGGCCGAGGATGTGCCGACAAGAATATAAAGAGCCACAGGAGGAATTTAGAAGATTTTGGGAGACAGGAGGTGGAAAAGCAGCACAAGCGAAGAGTTTGCCGGCACAACCAAAGCAGCAGCGCAAGCGAAGAGCTAGAGCTGCCAGTGCAAAGGAGCCCAAGGAGAAGAAGCCGAAGGAGGAGGACCACGAGAAGCTCGAGCGGCAAAAAGAATACCAACAGCGAACAAGGCAGATCCAAGAACTCCAACAACAACTCCAACAAACAAATCAAGCAGTACTTTCTTTTCAACAGCCTCGAGAACCACAGGCGAACAGTTTCAACAAACAATCGTTCGAGGAAGGCGCTAAGCAAGCTAAAGAATCACTCGAATGGGGGATATCGCAAGCAACAGCAATGAACAAAGAAGCGGCCGCTCTAAACGCAGAAAGAGCGAAATTACAGCACCAGCATTACTTGGATACTACTCGCGGACCTCCTCCAGCTCAATCGCAAGGCCAGAGTCAATCGCAAGGCCAGAATCCGACCATGTTTGCACCTCCACAAACACCGCAGGCTCTTTTGCACGCACCAGCTGAAGCTGCACTGCTGCTAGCAGCTGCAGCACATGCCCAGCATTACATGGATACTACTCGCGGACCTCCTCCAGCTCAATCGCAAGGCCAGAATCAATCGCAAGGCCAGAATCCGACCATGTTTGCACCTCCACAAACACCTCAGGCTCTTCAGGCTCTTTTTGCACTGGCAGCACCAGCACCAGCTCCAGCTGCACTGATGCTATCACCTGCAGCACATGCAACCGCAGCAAATGAAACCGCAGCAAATGCAGCCGCAGCAACCGCAGCAAATGCAGCCGCAGCACCCGCAGCAAACAGCGTAGCAGCACAGATAGCAACCCTAGGAACTCTCCTGTTGAATGGGGACATCACTCAAGCTGACTTCGCGCAACTCAAGGCGTCACTATTGCCGCCCCCGTGAATCATCACGCTCGGGTGCTTTCTCCCATGATGACTGCCTGTTCAACAGGAACACATGGGAGTTTTTAGCGATAACCCGGATCTTATTATACTAGAGTATCGGAATCTACGCTAGTTGCATACTACCCCGAGAGTCGTCTATAGCGAGCAGGTCCCTGTATGCCGCTCGTGCGAGCGAACCTGCCATCGCGAGTCCAAAATCAGCACTCTCGCGAGCCACTACACCGCAGCACGTCTCTCTATGCGGAAAGCAGCCACAACTATAGA